GGCACTCTGGCCCGGGGAGCGAGGTCGGCTCTGTGGCTCCCGGTCAGGGTGGAGCCGCTGTGGCTGCGCACCTGCGCTCCTGGCCCTGAGGATGGAGTAGCAGAGCGAGGCAGTGTCAGAAATGACCCGCAGGAAGAACGGGGGGTTCTTGTGGACCTGCTGGTCAAACGGCAGCTGCAGGACACAGGCGTGGAACCTAGGGGGGGGACGCATGTCGTGAGAGGCAGGCCTGGGGCATGCACTGCGGTGTGCTGCACACACGCCTGTGCGTGAACAGGCTCGCACACACACGGGCACACATCTGTGTGCATATGTGCATGTGGGCTTACATGTGTGTACATGTGCATGCATACAACTGTACCATCATACAAGTCCCTCGCCAGGTGCCCATGCCCCTGGCCTCCCAGCCACGTGAGACCACAGCACCCACGAGCACCTGCCTGGCCTCGCAGTAGCCTTGCTGGGGTGAAAGAGCCTCCCCTGGGCAGCGAGGACCACGGGTCTAGAGGTCACGCAGCACAGCAGCCCAGGGCTGTTGGTGCTGGCCTGGGACACGCTATGTGGACAAAACACACTCACAGGGGTATGGCCAGCCCGGTGCCTACAGTCTCGCCCGCTGCGCCCTGGCCCCAACACTTCGGCTTTCGCTCTGCCCATTCCTGCCTTGGGCACGGCTGCCTGGCCTCCCACGAACCTCACTCTGACCTGCCCCTGACAGCACAACCCGCGGGGCAGCAGGCGACACCGGGCCTCACTGCTGTCCCAGGACCCTGACATGCCCAGGCCACTGCAGGCCGCAGTAAGATGGGCAGCCCTCCCTGAGCCCGGCTGCCCTGGGGAGTGAGGCTGAAGTTGGCAGCACCAGGAAAAGGGGCCTGCAGCCCAGCCGGGATCCGGCAACCACAGCTACGGGGGCTCAGCGTTCAGAGGCCGCAGCTCAGGCGCCGTGCGGGCCCACGGCTGGGGGTGCAGGAGCTGGGAGCGAGGCTGTTACTGAGAGAGCTACTGCCCGGACCCAGGGACCAGAACACGAGGCCCCACAGGCCCCAGGTGCCCCAGGAGAGGTGGTGCCCGGACATGGCACTGCAGAGGTCCCTGGGCTACAGACAGACCATCGCTCGGGTCCCGCCCACAGCCCCAGGGCACACACTCAGGTCCCACTCCCAACACTTGTCTCCCAGGAAGAGGAGGGCTGGCAGTGGCAGGTGGCGGTGGCAGGTGGTGTCAGGTGGCGACAGCCCCTTTGGCCTGCGGCTTGCACCTCCAGGCTGAATGCTGGCCCCTGCCTCATGTGAAGTGGCCAGGACGCTGCTCCTGACCCTGTGCTCTGGGGCAGGTCTGCACAGGGAGTGGGCAAAGTCCTTCCCCTCGTCCCCCGGCCGGGAAGTGACCGGTTAATGAGTGACACGGTGCCCAGCTTCCCGGTGGAATGGAACCACCTCGGGTGGGCCCTGCCCTGGGACGTGTGGACACACCCGCTGCCGGCTCCACTACCACCACCCTCCCTGACTGTCCACAGGGCACCACACCAGCCAAGGACAGAATGTTCTAGAAGCACCATCAGGCCTGAGCACAGACAAGCCCTGAGTGGAGCGCCAACAGTGGCTGGGGTTTTGGGGACTGCATTCTGGGTTACTCCTCCCTGGGGACAAGGGTCAGCAATACCGCTGTGAGGACAAAGGGCAGCAACCCCTGTCACCCGTTACCACCTCACAGCTCGCTGCTCTGGTGCCAGACCCACCCGCGCACCATCCCTCCCAGCCCCTGCCCTGCCCAGCTCGAGCCCGTCCTGTCATCGGCGTGAGCAGCTCTGTACCATGACGCCACACGGGCCCTCGAGGTCCCAGGGGCTGTGCACAGGGGCGTGGGGGCACCACCACCCTGGCACGAGGGCAGAGAAGGCAGAGCTGCAAGGACGCCGGCCTAGCCCCCAAGCGGCCTCTGCGCACCCGTGGCCCTGTGCCGCCCCCTGGTGGCAGTGTGGCCCGTGACCCACCTGTAGGCTTGCAGCAGCAGGACCTTGTACACGTTCACACACACCGTCTGCAGGCTGTTCACCTAGGCACCAGGGACGGCCGTCAGACCCTGCGGCCCCAAGCCCTGAATTCCCCTGGCCATTCAGCCAGTGCAGCAGCCAGGCCTCACCTCTCCAGGGCGATCGGCCACCACCACTGTTCCCAGAGGGCACAACAGGGTCCACATCTGAGCAAGGGCCAGCCCAGGGCTGAGGTGGGCGGATACCCAGCCAGTGAGCCGTCGGGCTGCCGCCACACACGGGGGTGCTCCCGGGCTGGGTGCACACCTGTACATGGACGTGCTCCCACACGTGCTGGCATGCACATGGACACCTGACACTGCTGCCACGTGTGTGCACATGCCACCAACACACTAAGCCACATACATGTGCAGTTCACCTGCAAATCCAGAAAGATGCCATGGCACTTGAGGCGCAGGACACCGAAGAGCTTGCGACGCAGGGCCCTCCCCGCCTGGAAGCCGGGGCTGAAGGTGAGGCTGGCCTTGATGGAGGTCCGGGCATAGCTGTGTCATGGACGGGGCTGTCAAACACACGAGTCTACCCACACCAGCCTGCCCCGGCGTGCAGCTGGCCAGGGGCCCCGGCTTCGGCTCCTCCTCTGTGCCCACATCCTGGCCAGCAGTGTGCACCCATGGGACACTAAGGACACAGGCAGGTGGGCACACCCCCACGTGGCATGGACCCTGGAGACCAGACCCCACCAGGGCCTGGCACGGAGATTGGCCCACGCCTGGAGAGGCACACGCATTCACAACAGCCCGATGAAGCTCATGACCCTGAACGTGCGCCCAGCGAGCCGCAGCACCGCAGCCTGAGCTCCCAGGTGCAGCCCGGTGCTTCCCGCGAGACCGCTCTGCTCACCCCGCGTGGACCACGGAGCAGCACATCTGTGCTTGGGATCTCGACGGGCCTGGAGAGAGGAGACCGCACCACCCTACGCACAGCTGCTCCTGAGGGCGGGACGTCACCAGCTCCCTTGAGGCACCGACCAGCACTGCAGCAGGACGCTCCGCCCAACGCTGCTTCTAATAGGCGGCGGCCCA